GACTAAGAAAATGGTATGTAGAGAGTAAAGGGGTTATGAGAGTTAGTGGGAGTTAGTTTTTCATGCCTCCTATTGTTATTAGGTGCTTTTGAGTCCAATATGACTCATAGTGACCCTATGAACAAAAGATCTGAACCTTGCTCTATCCTGAGCAATCTTCATACTTCCTGACACACAAGAGCCCATTGCAGAAGTCACTGTATCAATCCATCTGGTCAAAGGTCTTCCTCTCCTTCACCAACCCTCTACCCTTTCTAGCATCATCTCCTTCTTCAAGGAATATCCCCTTCTAGCAACATGCCCAAAGTATATGAGGTAAAGCCTCATCATTCTTGCCTGCAAAGAATACTCCAGCTATACCCTCTTCAAGATGTATGTCTGTTCTCTTGGCCATCCATGGGTTGTTCAGTGTTCTTCTCCAACACCACAGCTCAAAGGTGTCAATCCTTCTTCTAGCATTCCAATTCATTATCCAGCTCTCAGATGCATAGCAAGTGATTGGAAAAACTATGGCCTGAATCATACGCACCTTAGTCCTCAAACTGACATCATTACTCCTCAATAATTATCCTACTGAATAGAAAAGAGATATTGTCTAAAAATCTCTTAAAAATTCAAACAGATAACTGGGCTGCTCCTTGGAGGCAAGGATTCTGAGGCTTTGTCTGACATACTTTGATCATGTTATAAGGAGAGACCAGTCCTTGGAGAAGGACATCATACTTGTGAGGGTGGAGGGCAGGAGCAGGAGGGGAAGGCCCTCTGGGAGGTGGATTGATTCGGTGACTGGGGCAATTGGGATGAGTGTGTCGGAGACAATGAGATTGGCACAGGACAGAGCAGAGTTTAAAGCTGTTGTACATAGGGTCGCTATGAGTCGCAAGCGACTCGACCTCACCTAACAACAACAACAACAATAAGTAAAGGGATAATGATGACCATAGGAATATGAAAAAACAGAAACTATTGGTGATGATTACCTCTAAAGAGAAATCTGGTGAAAGGAGAGAATATTTCATTTGTTTTTGAAAAGTTTAACTTTCTAAAATTAGTGTGCTTTTCTGTAATTAAAAAAATATTTACAAAAGACTAAACAAATGAAAATACTCTCCCTTTGGAATATAAGTATGTCTGAAGGTGTAATAATTGGTATAGTTTAGGTCTTTAAGTTTTCTCTTTCTAGTGTCTGGAAGAACCTGAATCAGGGAGGGTCATGTGACATAAAACATGGCTTCCTAAACATGGCAGACAAGCACACACGGCAGGCAGAGGAATCTCTCCCTTCATATATTCCTAAAGGCAGTTCATATTTAGACACAAGAGAGGACCAGAGATCATCAACCCTCCAATCTAGTCCGCTAGCCTGAAACTCTGCCACTCTCTTACAGGAGCCCCTGCAAGCCAGGGACCTTGCTTTTTAAGTATCTGTCTGACCACAGCTTCTAGAGGTCCAGAGTGCTCTGATCCCAGGAAGATGGGCTGCAGAGGGTCTCAGATGAGTGTGACTCACTTTCTGTTCCAGGGCCAGCCATAGGGAGCATCACTGGGAGGGAGCCCTGCAGCTTCAGAACCCAAGGTCCTTTCCTCTTCACAGGGCATTCCATCTATTGAACTTTGCTCACTTGTGGTTAATATTACTTTGGGCCCCAGCAGCAGCAGAAAGGGAGGCTCAGGCACAGCTCTAGAGTGCCGCTCGCTGGCAGCTAGCAAGTAGGAGGCCTGGAGACTGGCATTCTCAGCACAAAGGCCTATTAATCTTTGACCCCCTGCCCCTCCCAGGGAGCTTTGTCCCTCCCTGTTTCTTTCCATTCTTCCCTGCTGGCCTCTCCCTCTGTACTCTACCTTCTCACTTCCCACAGTGGCCTTGTCTTGACTGGTGATTTTCCCTGAGCTTCTTGCCCAAGCCAACCCATCCATGCTGTCTTCAAGCCCTCCTTCCTGCATGTCTCCCAACCCAGACAGGGAGGACTCAAGCAAAAAGGTCCACTGGGCTTCTGGGAGGAGAAGGACATCATCCACAGACTCAGAGTCAAAGTCACACATTGACATCTCCAAATTGCCCAGGTCCCGGCGACCTAGCAGGCTGACAGTGAAGTATGACCGGGGGCAGCTCCAGCGCTGGCTGGAGATGGAACAGTGGGTGGATGCACAGATTCAAGAGCTCTTCCAGGTGAGTAACAGTGTGTACAGTGGGAGGAGAGAAGGGTGGAAGAAGATGAGGGGTCTGGGATCAGCCAAAGAGTGGCTGGGAGAAATTGTGCAGGAAGATCCCTACCCCCACCCCAGAGGAACTGGAGGGCTGATGATGCAAGCTGCTTCCATGGTGATCAAGAAAGGGGGGAAGAATGAGCAGAGGTTTAGAATTGAGATCCCTACCTCCCTGGTCTTGACTTGACCTTGAACTCTCATTTATGATCTATGCTAGATCTTTGAACAATTTTCTTAGCTTCCTAATCTAGAAAACAGAGCTGTGAACGCCTGCTTTATCCCCTTCATAGAACTCTTTGTGGCTTAAATAAGATAGGAGGGAAAATGTTGAAAAGTGTAAGTTATTAGACTACTTTGTTCTTTAAATTTTTAAATGTCATTGTTTTTGAGGGTATGCACAAGCAAAACACAGAACAATAAGGGTATTTTTCTTTATGCTTTTATTCACTCCCAACCTTAACATGCTTAGAGCTGTGACATCAATGTACTCGCTACCAACCAACCATATGTAACTATTTAAATTAACTGAAGTGTAATAAAATCACAATCACCCTAGAGATGTTTTAAGTACTTCGTAGCCCCATATGGGTAATGGCCTTTGTGCTGTCAGCACAGGATATAGAACATTTCCATCATCTCAGAAAGGACAAGGCTGAATGGAGAGTGTTTGAGTGACCAAAAGGCCAAACCTGTTACCACTGAGTCAATTCCACCTCGTGGTGTTCACTTGTGGTATGAACAGAACTGAATGCATAGGATTTTCTTGATTGTAATCTTAACAGAAGCCAATGTCCAGATCTTCCTTCTGATATGCTGTGGAGTGGGTGGATGGGTGGGTTTGAACAGTCAAAGTTTCAGTTAGTAGTGGATTGCCAACCATTTACATAACCAAGGTTGAGGGACCTACCCTACTTGGCCTTGACTTCTCTTCTCAATCCTCTCTTCTTTTCCTAGTTGGGGAAAAATTAAGTCCTTGGCCTTTTGTTTTGAAAAGTGGCATTTCTTACTTAGAAATCCCTGGGGCAGGCTCTTAAGGAAGTAACAACTACAGATTAACAGTAGGACTGGCATTTTGAACACATAGCTATGTGCTAGGCACAGTGACAAGGCTTTAATGCATTACTGCATTGAATCTAGCCCACGCTCTATTAAGTAGGTATTGTTGTACAGCTGAGAAAAGGGTGGCTTGGATATGTTGGGAGGCTCTGACGGCATAGTTGGTAGTGGGTTGTGCTATTAAGCTCCCAGCTCTTTGACTCTGCCATTGCAATTTACAGTCTTGGAAACCCAGTGGAGAGTCGCTATGAGTAAGAAACCCAATGAAAGGTCACTGAGAGTCAAAACTAATTCAACAGTAAGTGAGTGTGATTGTTGAGAATCTTATGCAAGGTCATACAACTAGAAAGCAATAGAATCAGAAACTAAAGCTGAGCCTCTGGCTCGTTTATAGAGGCTGAGTGTTTATTCTTGTATCCAATAGTTCTTGAGACTCCGTCTCACATACTTTGGTCATATAGCCTGGAGGGGCTGGTCTTTGCAGAAGGATATGGTGTTTGGAAGGGTTGAGGGACAGGGCAGGAAAGGAGAACCCCAGATGAGATGGATGGACACAATTAACTGGGCTAATGAGGGTAGGTGTATCAGAGACAGTGAGATTGCCTTAGGATAGAGCAAGGTTCAGAGCTATTGTGCATAGAGTCACTATGAGTCACAGCTGCTGGAAGGCACCTAACAACAACAACAATGGCTCTCCTTACCTGAAATACATATTTTAAAAAATGCCTCTGTTCCACCACAACTGAATCTACAATTTTATGCAGAAGAGGGCAGGCATTGATTTCTTTTACAAGTTTCACAGTTGATACTGACATGTGGCTGGGATTCTTTGTCCATCAGGAGCCCTCCTCCTTCTTGACTTAAGTCATATATTTCCTTTTTTCTTTGAGGAAGCCAGGACGTATGGGTAACAGCCATGTCAATAGTTCTGTGGTTGAGAGAGGGAGCAGAGGCAGATGTGGCCCAGACAGCCCTGAAGCTTACTTGGTCATGTATCACTTTGGTCCAGGTGTTGACCATGTTCCAAGCAGCATCCTGAACTGACTCACTGAGAGTGTGGGGATGCCTTGGAGCTGGATGCACAAGAGACATGTTTTCTTGTCCTGTGTCTGCTCTGACCTTGCAGAACACCTCTACCCTGCCCTTTGCTCTTTCCAGAGCCTTCTTTCCTTCTTCACAGAACTAGTTTGAATTTCAAATTCTTGTGCTCTTTCTTGACAAATCTCATATTTCAAACACTTTAGGGAGCAAAAAAAAAAGAACCTCTTTCATGCACCAGACATTTGTCAAAGAAACTCGTTTTGTAAGATTAAGGCAAAGGGGGGGAAGTGTACAGTAATAATTCCATACGTTGGAAAACAGGACATGTGAGAGTACCACTCCCATGCAATGACTGGAATAAAAGGCTTGGCCTGTGGTTGCCATGGCAATTGTCCAAAGGTGCCAGGTGGCGGTTTTCTCCCAATCCCTACTCTTTTCAGCAGGAAGCAGCAGAGTAACTGGGGAAGTCCCAGGTAACTGGTCAGCTTGGGCACAGGTCAAAGAAACACAGTCTTCACCCTTATCTTACTCTAGTTTTAACTCCATAGAGCCCTCACTCTGTTCCACCCCCACTCTGGGAATGAGATTAGGATGCTTGATTTTACTTGGTTAGTTTAGTGGGACCCAGTTATCCCTTGTTGGACAACTCTACTTTTCCTTGGGTATGCACCCTTGTTTGAGGTCCTCCAAAGAACTAGGTGTAGGGAATACAAATAGAAATGGAGGTCTGGAGCACCTGTTGTCCAGATATGGAAATTAGACTTACTTGTAAGCAGGAACTTAAAAACCCAAGAATCTGAATCTCTCCTATTTTTTTTTTTCTTCTTGTGTACTGTTGAATCATATCTGACTGTCACAGGAGGAGATTGCCCCTCCTTTTCCAGCGGACCATCTGGTGGATTTGAACCGTGTGCCTATGGGATTGCGGTGCAGAATCTCGCCTATTTTAAAGAGACTTTTGCTCAGCGAATGTCATCCTTTAATTATTGTTGTTAGGTGCCATCCAGTTGATTCCAATTCCTAGTGACTCTATGTATGTACAATGACATGAAACAGTACTTAGTGGGGTTTTTTCCTGACCTTTACTTAACCATACTTCTCCAGGGACTGATTCCTCTTGATAATATGTCCAAAGTACATGAGATCAAGTCTCACTGTCATTATTTCCAAGGAGCATTCAGGTTATACCTTTTCCAAGAAAGAATTGTTACTTCTTCTGAAAGTCTATAGTGTATTTGTTATTTTTCACCACACCATTATTCAGACATCACTTTTTATTTGGTCTTTTGTCCTGTTCAGCCTTTTGTACATTATAAAAATCGCATGGTTAAAAAAAAAAAAAGAAAGAAAAAGAAAATAGCATGCTTCAGTCAGGCATACCTTAGTCTTCAGAGTGAGATCTTTGCTTTTAAATACTTAAAAAAGTTCTTTTTAGAAGATATGATCAGTTTAAAACATCATTTGAGGGAGCTCTGATGGCATGATCTGTAGGCCACGTTTTTCACTAATGTTGTCACTGCATCTTGGTCTTCTTTCTTTAATATCATCAATTCTTAATCATCTGTGACATGCTGAAATGGTTGAACATCAACCAATTTCCTTTTTGTTTTCTTTACCGACTCATTTTGATACAGTGATTTTGTGTTCCTTCCATCTTCTTTGGCTGCTCTTTAAATATTTTGTCCACAGAACCCTTCATTATTGTAACACCAGGCTTGATTTCTTCAGTTATTTCAACTTGAGAAATGTAGAGTGTGTTCTTCCTTTTTGGTTTTATAACTCTCATTTTTTTCACATTTCATTATAATACTTTGATGTGTTCTTACACCACCATTTGAAATCTTTTAAGTTCTTTTACTTCACCTTTAAAACATTCATATTAGCTACATATGTTCTTCTTAAAGTTTCAGAGTCTCTTCTGACTCTAGTTTCATTTTTATTTTCTTTGCCATCTTTTTAATGACCTTTTTGCATTCTTCATTTTTTATATCTTTGATCTCATTCCACAGCTTATCTGATCTTTGGTCATTAGTGTTCAAGGTGTAAAATCCATTCTTAAGTTGGTCTCTAAATTTGGGTGGGTATACTCAAGGTTGTACTTTGGCTGGAGTGGACTTGTTTTCATTTTCTTCAGCTCCATCTAGACCTAGCATATGGACTGGACAATTTTTTAAGATTACAATTACACAGATGTTAGACTGCTTAATAAGATTCCATAGGTCACTAGGACTCTATTCTGTTCTCTTAGTCACTTTCCTGACCCTTTCCCACCATAGTTCATTTTAATTAATATCTCTTGCTGTGGCTTCAGGTTCAACTAATGTTTTCTTCTATAAAGACTCATCTGCTATTTTTTGCTGATATGCATTCCATTCAGTAAAGTTTTCATTTAAAATATTGTGTTTTTCTGGGAAAAAGGATTTGGTAATGACATGTCAGATAAGGGAGTTATATCCAGAATTCATAAAATACTTGAACACCATAACAAGATAAAAGTAAATAATCCAATTGAAAAATGGGCACAGGATATAAACAGACACTTCACCAAAGAAGACATTCAGATGTCCAACAAGCACATGAACAAATGTTCAAAATCCCTAGCTCTAAGAGAGATGCAAATCAAATTAACTATCAGATATCATCTCACCCCAGTCAGAATAGCAAAATTCAACAGAACAGCAAGCAGCAAATGCTGGCGAGGTTGTGGAGAAACTGGAACCTTTATTCACTGTTGGTAGAAGTGTAAAATGGTGCAACCACTGTGGAAGGTGGTATGGTGCTTTCTCAAAAAGTTGCAAATAAAGATACCATTTGACCCAGCAATTCCACTACTGGGGGAATATACCCCAAAGAGACTATAACTGA